AATCGACGATTTTGAGGGGTCCTTTGCTATCAGGGGGCCCTCTGTAAACCCGGTGCCCCCCTTGCCAAGGCTCTGGCTGCGCTCCTGCGTTGGAAAAAAGCGAGGCAAATGAGATGCATTGCTTCCATAGTGGTAAGCAGGGAGGCCAATGTGATTTTTCCAGCGGGAGCGGCTACTTTAACCTGAAATTCTGAGCTATTTAGAAGAATTTCGAGAAAAGGGGTTTCACGTGTCAAGTTGTACGCGTCTGATTTAACGCGTAGTGAAAAGCCCAGAAAGTGGCCAACTCCCTCTTGTCATTCACTGTGAGGTCAACGACCCACAAATTACAGGTTTCGGCTGGTTATTTATCAAATGTTATTATTCCATGCCTGACTTCAATGGTGTAGGGTGTTCCAGGAAACGCGGATGGATCGAAGTCATTCATATTTCAGACAGTGAGAGATGAGAGAAAGCGAGAGAGAGAGAGAGAGAGAGAGAGAGAGAGAGAGAGAGAGAGAGAGAGAGAGAGAGAGAGAGAGAGAGAGAGAGAGGAGAGAGAGAGAGAGAGAGAGAGAGAGAGAGAGAGAGAGAGAGAGAGAGAGAGAGAGAGAGAGAGAGAGAGGAGAGAGAGAGAGAGAGAGAGAGAGAGAGAGAGAGAGAGAGAGGAGAGAGAGAGAGAGAGAGAGAGAGAGAGAGAGAGAGAGAGAGAGAGAGAGAGAGAGAAGAGAGAGAGAGAGAGAGAGAGAGAGAGAGAGGATAGAGAGAGAGAGAGAGAGAGAGAGAGAGAGAGAGAGAGAGAGAGAATGGAAAGAAGAGAGAGAGAGGGAAAAGCTTAAACGTTTATTTACAATGAGAGGTAGACTGAAGTATTGTGGTATCTCGTAATTTTTGTGTTGACTGCGTACATATTGATCATGCTGAGTGTTAGTATTAATAATTGGTTGCTTGTTCTTCCTCCTCCCAAAAATTTCTGCCTGGGGGACAAAAGAGGGGTACAACCGAACGACGTAAACTTTCGAGATCCCCACAAACGCGTCTGCTATCGACACAAGCTCGAAAGGCACGCCAATGGGCGGCAACCTGCACCAAAACATCCTCTACCATCCGCATCGCCATCGATCCTCAACATCTCCCCACTACGTCACGAAGCATAACATGAGAAGTCAGCCGCCTGGACCTGACGGGCCGTGCCCTGCAGCCATGTCGAGCCAGCTGCCGCTGCCCTGGGCGCCGGAGCAGCCGACGCCGGAGGAGGATGCCCGCCTGCGAGCCGCCTACAGGGCGTACCAGCCGTGCGGGGCGGCCATGTTCGGCCCGTCGCGGGTGATGCTCGCGCCCGACGCGGCGCCGATCCTGGAGCGGTGCTACAACACGCCGCTGCACCCGGACGACACGTGGGTCGTGACGCTGCCCAAGTGCGGTGAGGAGACGGGGCGGGGTGACGCTGGCGGGCTGCCGCGCGGTGCCGGGTCCCGGGGCGGGCAGCGAATGTGCATTGAGGGTCGAAGGCTTTGAAGGCTTTGTAGGCGGCGTCGCGGCAGGGGGGGGGGGGGGGAAACGGAACCATATGGGTCAGCTTTTCGGATGGGCTTATTGTGCGGAAGAAAAGCTTTTAAAACCACCAGTTACCCTTAACGTTGGAGACGTCTTGGAGCTGGTGCCAGAAAGCTTAAAATAAGGCTGCATAGGAAATGTTATGAGAAAGCCAGTAAACGTAGAAGAATTATACTCATGTATTATTGTGTGAAAATTGTTGTTTAGGCCGGCATATTTCCCATTTTTGTGTGGCAGTGAATCGAATGGTAATGGTAATAAATGAGACATTTCAGAACTTATGAACACAGTGCAACCATTTTTGGAACACTTCATTACTCATGCGCGTAATGACTGGGTGCTAGACCGGGTCACAAAGCTCCATTAAGTGCGTCTAATTTATGACTGAGTGTCGTGCTGGAGGGAGAGGCACACATTTTGCATGGAATCTGGTAAACATAACCTGTCATCCTAACTTCAATATCTCACGGCATGACTGGCTCATCCCGAGATCGCGCTGTAAAACGAAAGCTCACGTTCTATCCTCTTAGTCCAACCGATGTTAGTCCGGGCTCTGGCGGCAGCTGTTTTGCGTCACGTGACGCCACGAAGCACGAACACGCCCTCCGCCACGAGACGCTCAATGTCGTCGCGCGTCCCGACAGGCACCACGTGGACGCAGGAGCTGGTGTGGCTGCTGCAGAACGACTGCGACTTCGCCGGCGCGCGGACGATGCTGATGCCGGACCGCTGGCACTTCCTCGACATCCTGGCCATCACACCGGTGCACCGGCGCGCCGCCGTGCGGGCCGAGCCCGAGACGCCGTCGAAGCGCATCTTCTTCGGGCCGATCGAGGCGCGGCCGCGGCCCTGGTTCGTCAAGACGCACCTGCCGCTGCACATGTGCCCGCCCCGACTCCTCGATACCTGCAAGGTGGGCACGGCCGAGCCGAGCAGCGCTGGCGACTCAGCCGTATGAGGTTGGCAGCATTGGGGACACAGCGATGTGGGGATGACAGCGCTGGGGGCTTAGCGGTGTGGGGTTCACAGGGCTGGGGCCACAGCGGTGTGGGGTTCACAGCATTGGGGACTCAGCGGTGTGGGGTTCACAGGGCTGGGGCCACGGCGGTGTGGGGTTCACAGCGCTGGGGGCTCAGCGGTGTGGGGTTCACAGGGCTGGGGCCACAGCGGTGTGGGGTTTATAACGCTGGGAGCTCAGCAGTGTGCGACTCACAGGGCTGGGGCCACAGCAGTGCGGGGTTGACAGCACTGGGGGCTCAGCGATACGGGTTCACAGTACTCAGCGGTGCGGGGCTCACAGCGCAGGCAAATAAGCGTTTAGACAGTGGGGAGTCTACTATAGCCATTTATGTTCCTCTTCATGGGTCAGGTCAGATCAGGCCACCGTTCAAAATCGGTCTAGAAGCAGCCTACAAGAACGATACTTTTTCACAGTGAGCTTCTGGTAAGTTACTTTCATTAGGTGCAGCTCTGGGAAAAACATTCCAAACGCAACAATACCATTTTAGGCCGATCTAGATGTTATCTGAGGTCAGCTTAGGTCGAATTAATGACTTAGTGAAATGAAAAATGAAGGCTAACCGTGTCTATGTGACCAGTACAATTCTTTTCTATGATCAGAAATAATGTGATGTACATCGGCAGGTACTCAAGGTCATATAGCTGTTGTCTACATTTTGCATGGTCCCGTTCGTTCACCTAGCATCTCCGCTACTGATAACGTCGGTCATTGAACTCGGACAACCTCAGATGATCTCGCATGTCCTCATGTTACTAATCGTGACTTCATTGTTGATTAGAATGATATTACATGGTTTCAGAGAAATATTCCAGCTCTCTGTTCAAAATTACCCAATAAAACTGCTTATTTTTTTAGCTCAGTGTGTGTTTTGTAGAAGGCACCCATAGGGATAGGTCATGACCCGGGCTGAGGTCATGTGCTTTCTGGTCATATCCTGGTTGTGAGTGTGATTTAGTACACCTTTCCTCTGATAAAAACACCAAACCCACATAAAAATACGCACAAGTTTGCATTTTGTACGAAAAGGGCAAAAATTGACCTGACTTAAGGTCGCTCTCCTCGCCTGTTTCGAAAAAACCTGGAAAGTGCAAGCTGTAGGCTCTGGCATGCCCTACTACTAAAGCAAGTTTGAACAATGGCAAGTGACTCACAAAATCGCTACTTGTAAAAGTTATTACGAGGTGGACCTCTTTGACCAGACCTAGGACACTCAACTTGGTAGATTTAACGTCAAATTTGCATAAAGGATGCAAAATTAATTGATAAACAGGTACTGATCATTTGGTGTCGCTGCAATGGTTTGTTGTTGAACTGTGCTCGAAAAACCATAGAGACAAGTCAACCTCTTCCCCTCGCCGGGCGCGGGTTAGGATATTTTTTTCATAGACATGTTGGTAGGTCAAAAATGATGGCATCTCTTGCCGATGCGCATCACATCTAAAGGTTTCATCAGCCCCCACGCTTGTCGAATAACCTAATGGCAGAGAGATACATGAATTACCAGAGCGGTTTCATTAGTGTCACCAAGCCGGTTGCGGAGCAGTCCCAATGGTCACCAGTCGCTTTTGGATTTTTGCACTTTGCTCGGCCTGGTATCCTTATTGCTTCCATCTTTTTGTCGTCTTTCCATTTTCATTATTTCCATACCTTCCACTTATCTCCCCGTGGAAGTTGGAACAAAAACGCACGCCCAATGAGCGCATGCACTGTGTTGCAGGTGGTTTACGTCGCGCGGAACCCGAAGGACGCGTGCGTCTCTTTCTTCCACCACCAGCACTTGTTCAACAAGGCGATGCCGAGCCTCGGTCTGGAGGAGCTTGTGGATCTCTTTATCGACGGCCTGGGAGCGAACCTTCCGTACTTCCCTCACGTTCTTGAGGCTTGGAGACAGCGCCATCATCCCAACATGTTGTTCCTCTTCTTCGAAGACCTGAAGAAAGATCTGCGAGGAAGTATTATCAAGGTAGCTGAGTTCTTGGGCAAACCGACGACGGAAAAGCAGCTAGACCAATTGGAGCAGCACCTGCACTTCAGGAACTTCAAAGACAACCAGTGGGTAAACTGGGAGTGGTTGTCTAGGACGGCATGGGGCGGCGATCCGAACAGGAAGTTCATGAGGAAAGGGCAGACGGGGGACTGGAAGAATCACCTCACCCCAGAGATGGACAGGAAAATAGAAGCCTGGATGAAAGAGGAGTTGGCAAATACGGACTTGACCTTCGTGACAGACATCCCCGAAAGTCAACAATGACCACTGGGAACAACTGTGGTGATGCAACTTAAAGTGCAACGCTGTGTTATTCCTTACACAACCTCTGGACTCTCTAAAATGCAGGTGCACTGGCGTTCAGTGGCGGTGCAGACGGTCATATGAGTGCATGCGACAACCCTGTAATAACGTGCAATGGCAGCGGCAGCAACTTTTAACTTAAAGTTTATATTTTTAGTGCATAACACTTTTTATTCCGTCTCCTATTGTTGACAGCCGTTTTGCGCTATTCTTTCACAACTCCACCAGTTACTTGGGAAGTTGGCTGCCACGTCTCATGACAACAGTTGATGTCGTTCCGCCACCCACTGCTTTGTGTAGCTTCATGCATGAGCGGTTAGAAAAGCTGTCGCCTGGAGTAAAAAGCTTCAGACTGCCGTGAAGTTTCCAATCATGGTCGCAGAGAATTCCATTTATGCCACAAATGCAATGACATACAATAAATTAAAAAAACTACTGAAACACGAGGCAAGAAAGGCAATGGGAGAAGAACCAAACTGAAAGCCAACGTTGTAGTAATCGCTAGCAAACAAGCCAAAAAAGCAAGTTATCAGCATTGAATGAAAAAAGTCCCGCATTTGACCCTATTTAGCCTCCACAGTGCCATTCTCCTGTAACTCCTGGCCCACTGGTGCGAGGCAGGTGTTGTTGGAGGGAAGGCAGGAGTGTCAGTCGCTCAGCAGGAGCGAGGACGGATGGATCATAGCTTTGTTCTTCGTTGGGCTTAACGTTCCTGGCTATCGTCTGCACCTAAGACGAGAGATACAATAACAACAACAGCACCTGTCGCAGCCCAAGAAACGATCGTTTGCTGTGTACAACAGCGACCGCGTGCTTTCAACTGGATGGCAAGGAACGGTACTGAATGTCCGTGGTGGGCTAAGTCCTGCTAGCGTCAAGCAAATTTGTTTTCTATTTACATAGGTAATAAGGTACATAGTTGGGATCCGCAAATGGATATGCACCGTCTTAATTTTCTTGATCTGTGTATGTTACTATGAGCTTAGAGCATGATCAGTGGCGCAATGACGCAATGCTTTCATTACCCGCGCGTTCCGTGGCCTTGGAGAAAGATGCCGGCGACTAGGATGCTGAAAGGTTGGTTCGCAACTGGTCAAAGGTGTATGTTTCGGTGAGTATAAACAACGCGTGAGTTGGCAAACTAACTAGGGAATTTGCAAATTCCCTGGCTTTCCGAGGAGTTAATAAATTCCCCTGGGAATTTTCAGACTTATTTGGCAGTCAAAAGCTTTGCAAATGCCGTTGGGAATTTACAAAATCACTAGGTTTTATGGAAAAGAATGCTTCCTCTATTTGTAACTGAATTGGTAAAAGCCAGTGACACATGCGACGAGGGAGCACATAGGGTACGCACTGTCTCTGATAAGAATATTTTACGTGCAATAATAGCATGCACAAACATGCTGACATTGAGGAAGTAGAGCTAGACAGACGCTCAAAAATCTGCGACCGAAAAAATGCGATGCTGTAGACCATTCACCAAATTTCTTTATAAACGTGCAGGTGTAAGAAGCTCTGTGGCTCTGCTGCAGGCCCAACATTTGCCACCCATCATTCAAGTGACGCATGAAGTCATGGTGTTCCGTTGCTTTTAACTGTTCTCCACCTGCTAGTTTCTTGCATTGCCGCCACGTCTGATGGGCGCAGGGTCACGTTCCACCGTTAACCTGAAGCATCGCTGACAAACCGATATTAGCACTTGCTATCCTCTAGAAGTCAGGCATATGTATCGTTCCTGGTGTTCATCATTGGCAGAGCTGTCCTGGATCGGGACTTAATCACAGAATCAGCGCATTACGTCTAGTGTGTACCATGTTTCAGTCTGATGTCCCTGTCACTTTCTTTACCCATATTTTGACCATTTGCAAGTGTCAGGAAAACCGGTGATGTTCGCGTTCACTTTCACAGCAACGCTGATCCACTCATCTAACATTTCCAGAACCAGTGGTTGTTAACTCGTTTCTGAGAGAAAAAGAAGAGAGAGAGAGAGAGAGAGAGAGAGAGAGAGAGAGAGAGAGAGAGAGAGAGAGAGAGAGAGAGAGAGAGAGAGAGAGAGAGAGAGAGAGAGAGAGAGAGAGAGGGAGAAGTTATGTATACGTATACATATGTGTATATATGTATATATGCATATATTTATATACGTGTTTATTTACATGTACATATTTACATGCATATATATATATATATATATATATATATATATATATATATACACATCTCATCTCGTCCCCACCTGGATAATGAAATAAGAATTCAAGAGTCCATTGTAGTTTCCTACTTTAGTTGGCGGGCTTTCCCCCCCCCCTAAACTCATTCAATTCGGATTCCAGTCTCCCCTCTCCCAGCTTCAAGGAGGAAGTGGGCCGAATCCGGGGAGAAACACTTTTTTACCTATTGGGCCGTTTTTTCACTGTTTAGCCCCCTTTCTCCAATTCAGTTTGCATACTTACGCCCTGTTGTCAGCATCTGAACAGATTTGTTTGCTGTTTTAATTATTTTCGAGCTTTTGAAGGTGTCGCCTGGAACGGGCGGAAGTGGAGGTAGGGAGAGAGGGGTTGAGCAGGAACCTGATGCTTCAACTTTCTGAAAGTTTAGCATTAGTCGAATGGGCGTCCATTAGAAATAAATATTCAAAATAGATGTCACTCCCCTAACAACTTGGGAGAATCTCCATTTTGCCTGCTGAGAGCCCATATATTTAAGCCCGACGGGCCGCCATTTATCGTCTGCACGACTTGCGAAAACCCAGCTGTCCTCTTTGATATACGTTTGAGAGTTTAGGCGGGTGCAACCCCAATGCTGGGGATGTACATAGATGCATCGATCTAAGATGTAAAAATGTTATGTCGCTGGTGTTGTACAGAAAGAACGACAAAAAGTGGCGTTCTCAATGTTTCATCAGTTTGAAGAAAGGCGTATCTGGACCGATAAAGTCCGAAGCACTTGGTGACGACTAGGTGATAATGTGATCAGGTACTATTTCAAATCTATCTAACTCAAATTGCTCACCCAAAAGTCGGTTGGGTGAAAAACATGGTGCAATGATACGGGCTGGTGTTGGAATATGTGACAAGCCATGTCTGTTTTAGCGTCGGGCATGGATTGGAAACATACTATAGAAACCCCTGAGGTTCGCCTTGTAAAAAGGCGCTTAGAAATACGTGAACAAGATTATTGAAAAAGCTGTAATGAAATCCTTTTAACACCTAAACGCCCTCAAGCACCCTCATCAGGTATCCTCATGATGATGTCACCCTGAAATTGCCGGACCTAGTCCTGACAAGATTCCGCCCCCGCCCCCCCCCCCCCCTCCCCCCCCCCTTCCCTCCCCCCAGGAGGCTTCCAGCCTTCCGCACTTAGAAAAGCACGACAGGTTTGGTATTGAAGGCCAATCCAAATAGCATTCCTCGTGCAAATAATTGCCTGGAGGTGGAACTGGATCTGCAGCGTCAATTTATGCCGTTTTGCGTTGTACCTGACTGAGCATACCAGTGGTGCAGCCAAGGGGGTTCATCAGCTATAGCCCCTGTCCCCCGCCGGTCAGGTTCGAATGCAGTTTTTCACCACGACACTACTGAGTACTGTTCCGGAATCTGGTGATTGGAAAAACCGCTTTGGTTTTAAATATAAAACATTACAACGGGCGACGACATGTAAAGCCCACCAGCCGTAACGTAGTAACAATACTAGTGGATAGCCGAGTACATATGTACGGCACGCAGTTGAAACAATTGTTTAATGCACCAGAGAAAACCAGCATCGATACCTCACTGATAGCTAAGCACTGTACCTATAAGCATGTGTGGGGTCCGTTTTTGTTCGCAGTGCGCTAGTGCTGGTGATTGGGCTGGGATTCGATCTTAAGAAGTGGGTTTGGGGAGGCTGCTTGAAGAGCATGGGGCTAATGTGGGATAGCTTTCATCATTTTTCGCTGTTCAGCCCCCCCCCCCCCCCCCAATCCATTTTATGAAACTATGCCCTAGATCTCTATTAGTTTAGTAGGTGTATGCGCCTCCAATCTGGAATCAGGGGCAATGGACCAGCGCGAGGCTTGCTGATGCTCGTGGTGCCTGCGGGCCCCGTGAGCTCGTGGAAGGGTGACCCGTGATGCAGTGGTACCGAGCGCGAACCCGGGGGTGAGCTCGTGGAGGGTTGACTCTTGATGCAGTGGTCCCGAGTACGAACCCCGGGGTGGGAGCACGCAGTTTTGCTCGACAGTCAAGGATCATAGCCGCTGGTCGGCTGCGTTATTTTGCCCCTTGCTGAAGAATAGTCTGCTGGTAACTGGCCAAACGGGGCCACCCGGTCCTGTACGGCCGTGTCGAGTTTTGACCGACTGACGAAGGAAGGTCTGCCGCCAGCTGACTGACCCGGTTCAACCTGACCCGCGCGACCGTGTCGGGCGCCTAAGACGGCACGTAATCCCCCGCAGGCCTGTGTGGCTAGGCCACGAAATAATTGTTCGATGGACCAGATCGGCATACCTTCGGTGGTGGGATTAGGGCGTGCGCTGCAGACTTTGCTTATCAAGTGCTGTGAGCCACACAGTCATCTTTGCAAAGTATTCGACAACATATTTTTATCTGTGGGAGCATTTCGAGGAAGTAAGGTACAAACAGAACTGCCGAGGCGGGGCAACACTACGACGACGAAAGAGCGTGTTTTGATATAGAGGGAGAAGGTCCTTCAGCGACCATGTACTTCTGCTGCGTGCCTTCGCGCTGGCGAGCGCAAAGCGGCGCACTCGGCTGGCCGGCGCCGCGAGCGCTCGCGGCTGCGGCCGGTACCGCGCCGGGCCTCCCCTCACCGGCTACCGAGGCTCGCTCGCATCCGTGTCGTCCTGCGGCCGCCCCTGTGACGTCACTGTTTACCCGCCACGTGACGTCAGCCGGGAGCGGCGGACTGGCGATTACGTGAGTCGGGAAGGGGACGGGGGGGGGGGGGGGGGGCAATGGCCGCGGCCGACGGGCCCACCCTCGTGAGCCAGCCTCCGCCGGTCTCAGGCAGCACCGATAAAAGTCTTGCTCAGATTCACGTTACGTAACAACATCTCGCGGCGATGCTCTCCGGTCTCGTATGTAGTTGCCGCGTGTGACTTGGTGGGCGTCCCTGTATTTTCCTACGGAAGGGGACGGAGCCCGTCCCAGTAAAGATTGGCGTGGATTTCCTGGAACGCTATTTAGCGTCCTGTCTGGAAAGCCGCTGACGTTTCCTTATTGGAGACGGGCTGACCGCGCGGGCCTAGACCCAGGCGAAAGTTTCTTCAGGATCTGACGTACAGAATGGTGGTGAGGCTAAAGTGCTGGTTTTAATTACAGACATAGGGTTCGTCCAGCTGAAGGATCAACGACCCGGCACACGTTTTTGCGGATTCACGGGGCAATTGCTGCTGGTTACCATGAGAGAACATCATTAAGATGCCTTATTCCAAGTA